AACATCAGACTTAAGACTAACTCATTAGATGAACTTAGAAGATGGAACCAAAATCTACCTCACTGCCTCTTGATAATAAGTGTATTTTCTTATTGTTTTTCATTTCTGGATTTATATAAAACCAAACATTGCCATCAAGTTGGATTACAATTCATAGCAGTCCTACAGGGCAAGATAGAACTGCCCCATATGGTTTCCAAAGTTATAAGTCTTTTTGGAAGCAGACTGCCACATCTTTCTTCCACAGAACAGTTGGTGAGTTTGAACTACTGACCTTTCAGTTAGCAGCAAAGCACCTTAATCACTGTGCCACCAGGCTTCACAGATTTGTACAATGAAAAATACAATCAGTAGCTTCAATAATGTTTATTGAAAATTAACAGATTGTTGATAATCTTTGTTATGCAGAAGAGATTCATCACAAAATCATGGAAAGTCATCAACATAAGCTCCATTGTAAGCATTCATTGTTTTTTAAATAAAACTCTGAACATGTGCCTCATTTTTTCAGGAAACACAAAATATTGACATACACTGTCTTTCTTGCCTAAATTCATCCTGCACCCTAAATTTTGTGAGACATATAGATGTTGTTGTTAGGTGACATCAAGTAGGTTCTGACTCACAGCAACTCAATGCACAAAAGAATGAAATACTGCTCAGTCCTGGGCCATCCTAATAGTTGTTGTTATGTTTGAGTCCAATGATGCTGCCACTGTGTCAATCCATTTCCTTGGAGGTCTTCCTCTTTTTCCTTGATGCTACATTCTACCAAGCATAACGTCTTTATCAAGGGACAGATCCCTCTTGATAATGTCCAAAGAACTAGAAACGAAGTCTCACCATCCTTGCTCCAAAGAAGCATTATTTCATCCAAGGCAGATTTGATTGTTCTTCTGACATTCCATATTACTCCAATATTTTTCACCAACATCACAATTCAAATGCATTTATTCTTCTCAGGGCTTCCTTATTCATTGTCCAACTTTCACACACCTATGAGTTGATTGAAAACACCATGGCTTGGGTTAGGTGCACATTAGTCCTCAAACTAGTATCTTTGATCTTTAATACTTTACAGAGGTCTTTTGCAGAAGATTTGCTTAACGCAAGCCATCGTTTGATTTCTTGACTGCTGGCTCCATGAATGTTGATTATAGTTCCTAACAAAATGAAATCTTTGATAACTTCAATCTTTTCTCCATTCTTTATAATTTGGAACAGTTGCTCACTGTTCCATTTGTAAGATTTTTTGTGTGTTCTTTACATTGAGGTGCAGTCCATACTAAAGGAAGTCATCTTAGGAGAAGAAGATATAATCCCTATGATAAAGTTAATAATTTGTCGTTGTTGTTAGGTGCCATGAGTCAGTACCAACTCATTGCGATCTTATGCACAACAAATGAAACACTGTCTGGTCCTGTGCCAATCTCACCATCGTTGCTATGTTTGAGCACATTATTGCTGCCACTGTGCCAATCCATTTACTTGAGGGGTCTTCCTTTTTTTCTCTGACCCTCCACCTTACCAAACATGAAATCCTTCTCCAGTGATTGGTTTCTGACAATGTGTCTGAAGTATGAGAGATGAAGTCTGACCATCATGGCTTCCAAGTAGCATTCTGATTGTACTTCTTCCAACACAGATTGCTTTGTTCTTTCGGTAGTCCATGGTACTTTTAATATTCTTCTCCAACACTATAGCTCAAATACATAAATTCTTCTATGGTCTGTCTTATTTGCTGTCGAACTTTCACATGTATATGAAGCTATTGAAAATACCATGGCTTGGGTCAGGCACACCAAAGTCCCCAAACTGGCATATTTGCTATTCAACACTTTAAAGAGATTTTGTGCAGCAGATTTGCCAAATGCAATACGTCATTTAATTTCTTGACTGCTGCTTCCATAAGTGTTGATTGATCTGGGCAAAATGAAGTCTTTGACAACTTCAATCTTTTCTCCATTTATATGGATGTTGTTTATTGGTCCAGTGATGAGGAGTTTTGTTTTCTTTTCATTGAGATGCAAACCATACCGAAGGCTGTGGTCTTTGATCTTCATCAGTAAGTATTTTAAGTCCTCTTCACTTTCAGCAAGCAAGGTTGTATCATCTGCATATTGCAAGTTCTTAATGAGTCTTCCTCCAGTCATGATGCCACATTTTTGTTCATATAATCCAGCCTCTTGGATTATGTGCTCAGCATACTTATGGTGAAAGAAAACAACCCTAGAACACACCTTTGCTAATTTTAAACCATTCAGTGTCCCCTTGTTCTGTTTGAACCACTGCCTCTTGGTCTATGTACAGGTTCCTCATGAACACACTTTAGTGTTACAGAATACTCATTCTTTCATATGTTGTCCATAACTTGTAATGATCCACACAATCAAAAACCTTTGAATACTCAATAAAGCACAGGTAACCATCTTTCTGCTATTCTCTGCTTTCAGCCAAGATCCATCAGATATCAGCAATATCTCTCATTTCACATCTTCTTCTGAACCCAGCTTGAACCCCTGGAAGTTTTCTGTCAATTTATGTTTGTAGCCATATTTGCAAATCTTTAGCAAAATTTTACTCGTATGAAAAAATATGATCCGATGACTTAAAAATTCCATTGGGTCACCTCTCTTTGGAATGGGCACAGCTACGGATCTCTTCCAATCAGTTGGCCAGGTAGTTGTCTTTAAAATTTCTTGGCAGAGTGAGTGAATGCCAGCAGTGCTTCATTAGTTTGTTGAAAGATTTCAATTTGTATTCTATTTGGCTGATGACATGGTGATTTTCCATTGTTTCTGTCTTAAGATATAGTCAATATGATTTCTGTGTATTCCATCTGGTAAGGTCCATGTGTACAGTCATCATTTATGTTGTTTAATAAAGGTATTTGCAGTGAAGAAATCAGTGGTCTTACAAAATTCAATCATACATTCTCCAGCATAATTTCTGTGAACACGGCCTTATTTTCCAACTATTGAACCTTTCTCTTTGTTTCCAACATTAGCATTCCAGTCACCAGTAATGATCAATAAATCCTGATTGCATGTTTGATCAATTTCAGATTTAAGATGTTGTAGAATTCTTTAATTTCATCCTCACTGGCTTTTGTGGTTGGTGTGTGAATTTAAGTAATTAACTGGTTTTCCTTGTAGGCATATGAATATTTTCCTATCACAGATAGCATTGTAGTTCAAGACAGATCTTGATGTGTACATTTTGATAATGAGTGTGAGGCCATTCCTCTTCAATTTGTCATTCCTCGCATAGTAAACCATGTGTCAGATTCAAAATGGCCAATTCCAATAAATTTCAGCTCACTAGGATATTGATGTTTATGCATTACATTTCATTTTTGATAATATCCAGTTTTCCTAGATTCATACTTTATATATTCCATGTTCTGATTATTAATGGATGTATAGAGCTATTTCTCTTTATTTTTGAATTGTGTCCCATCAGCAAATGAAGTTCCCTAAGGCTTTACTACAAGGTGGTCTGGTAGCGACGTGGTTATGAGTCGAGCTGCTAACCTTAAGGTCAACAGTTCTTAATAACAGCCAGTCCACGGGAGAAATGTCAGGCTTTCTGCTCCCATAAAGATTTACAGCCTCAGAAACCCTATGCAGAGTCGCTATGAATCAGAACCAACTCCACGGCACACTACCACCACCACCACCACCACCACCAAGTCTTTACTCCATTCGTGCCATCATGGTCAACTCTATTTTGAGAAGGCAACTCTTCCCCAGTTGTATTTTGAGTCTCTTCCAACCTGAGGGGCTCATCTTCTGACACTATATTTGACAACATTCTGGTGCTCTTCATTATGTTTCAATAATCAATATTCTGGTGCTGACAGTGTTCCAGTACGACAAACTGACAGACTAATGGTGGAAGTTAATACTAACACTTATGATAAACATTTGCATTCAGTTATCATTTATGGATTATTTGTAAAAATCATTCCTGTTGTTTTTGTTGTTAGGTGCTGACTCATAGAAACCCTATGTACAACAGAATGAAGCAGTGCCCAGTTCTGTGTCATCCTCATAAATATTTTATATTTGAGTCCATTATTGTGCCACTGTATCAGTCTATCTTTTGAGGGGTCTTCCTCTTCATTGACTCTCCACTTTACAAAGAAGAATATTCCTTGCCAGGGACTGGTTCCTCCTGACATTTCCAAACGAGAGTTGAATTCTTGCCATTCTGGCTTCTAAGGAGCATTCTGGCTGTACTTCTTCCAAGACAGATTTGTTTGTTCTTCTGGAAAACTGTGATATTTTTAATATTCTTAGCCAACGCCACAATTCAAATGCATTGATTCTTCTACAGTCTTCCCTGTTCATTGCCCAGCTTTCGCATTCATATGAGGTGATTGAAAACAACATGACTTGGCCTCAGACATACCTTAGTCCTTAGTCTTAGTAAAAAGACACATTTTTTTTTCACTTTAACATTATAAAGAGGTCTTTTGCACCAGATTTGCCTAATGCTTTATACACACCTCATTTAATTCTGAAGATATAAGAGAGATAATTAGTTATATGTGTTTCATGAATGAGAACACTACCTTGCTTAAATCTATATAGTTAATAGGTGATTGAGCCAGGCCTTGAATCGTCAGACTGCAGAATCCTTTGAACTGCAAGGTCAATGGTTCAAGCTCACCAGCTGCTCCTTGGAAACTCTATACAGGGTCGCTATGGGTCAGAATTGACTTGATGGCACTGAAAAACAACAACTTGTTGAACAGTAGGCTATGCATTGTGTCAGGAAAGAACGTATTATAGTACTTTGCAAGATGGATATAAGTCTCGATATCACAGAGTTAAAAGCCAAAGTTCTCAACTCTCAGACTCCCCAGTTTACTGTTACTTTCAACATTAATGGTGTGTCAGTAAAGGGAAGAGCAAATTAGTAAAATGACCGATCTTTGATCTTTTTCTGACCTTTAATATTGCTTTTGCTTACTCTCTTCTTTTTTTGCCTCCTAGGAACCCTGGGAAACAAGGGACTGCATATTTTCAACCTAACCTCTCTAACCAAGTCTGAAAACATTTTGTCTGCCACACTGTATTTCTATATCGGTGAGCTAATAAACATCAGTCTGGGTTGTCCATCATCCCCAGGATGCTCATACCACACTCAGAGGAAACACATTCAGATTGATCTCTCTGCATGGATCCTCCACTCCAACAGAAATCAAAGTCGACTTCTAGGTCACCTTTCCATAAATGTAGCCAAACCTCATCGAGATATCATGACGTGGCTATCTAAAGATATCACTCAATTCTTAAGGAAAATCAAGGAGAATGAAGAGTTTCTAATAGGATTTAATATAACTTCCAGAGGACACCAGCTTTCAAAGGGGATGTCACCCCTCCCTGAGCCTTATATCTTGGTGTATGCCAATGATGCTGCCATTTCTGAGCCAGAGAGTGTAGTATCGAGCTTACAGGGACACCGGAGTTTTCCCACCAGGGCTTTGCCCCAACTGGATAGCCACATTAAGGCTGCTCTTTCAATACAACGGAGGAAGAAACGTTCCACTGGGGTCTTGCTGCCTCTGCAGAACAATGAGCTTCCTGGTGCAGAATATCAGTATAAGGAGGATGGGGTCTGGGAGGAGAGAAAGCCTTACAAAACCCTTCAGACTCAGCCTCCTGAGAAGAGTAAGACCAAAAAGAAACAGAGAAAGGGACCTCACCAGAAAAGTCAGACACTCCAGTTTGATGAGCAGACTCTGAAGAAGGCAAGAAGAAAGCAATGGATTGAACCTCGGAATTGTGCCAGGCGATACCTTAAAGTCGACTTTGCAGATATTGGCTGGAGTGAGTGGATTATCTCTCCCAAGTCATTTGATGCTTATTATTGTTCTGGAGCATGCCAGTTCCCCATGCCAAAGGTATCAGTTGTTCCTTGTACTTTGATTGCTTCCTATTTCCATAGGGTAGAACAACATTGCCTAAGATGTGGGTGTAAATGTGTGTTTTCAATATATAAAATCCATCTGTTCTCCTTCTTACTGCATTCTGAAGTGTAATAGGTAATATAGTTATGCTTCATTTTTCTTTAATGGTTGTTAAAGTAATATGAAGTCAGTATTGATATGAAGAAGGATATGAGGGGAAGGAAATGTTTGTGGAAAACATGGGTTTTTGCATTGCTTCCAAACATGATGCATATTCAGCTGTGTGGTCATGTTTGAATTCCCACTTGTAATAAGGAACAAGCCCTGGATGGTAGAAGGCTGATCTGTGAGATGTTTAGGGAGAAAGGGAACATCAAGGGAGTTCTTCAGATTAATGTCCTGAATGCAGAACATACTTTGATAAATAGTCTGCTGTGCGAGGTCAGGATCAGGGGTGGGCCAGGTAAACTGGTCTTTTGAACCCTGCCAGATGCTAATTTAGCTTGCTTTCCTGATAAGCATCTAAAAGGAAGCCAGAATAGAGTATGACAAACTTCTTCCAAGATCTGTTTCAACCTGTCAGAGCTTGCCTGGGTCTCTTCGAAAATCAGTAGGGACTGATTTTGTAAATCTTTATTGTATCAGTCATCGGTATCCTGACAAATATGTTCTTGGCAGCCTCCCTGACACTCACCTCTCTCTTGCACAGCTAGTCTAAGTAACTGTTCTTTTTGAGTTTAGGGTTAGTAAAATAGAATGGTGCCCTTTGACCTTCAGTTAAGTGTATAGCTGTACTTCCATTCTCAGCTTGTAACAGTTTGAATCTTAATTATACTATGAAAAGTGCCCTCAGAGGGAGAATAGAGTTGTTTTGCAACATTTTAGGTCAATTAGTTTTTCCTGCTGTAAGATAATGGAAGGGAAACAAATGTTTGCCTCAGTAAGTGAACAGCTTCTGTATTAATGTGTTTAGCATTTTCACGTCTCAGCACTATGATTGTTTGGATACCTAGTTTACTAACACACACAGAAATCAGAGAACCAAGTTCATAAAGCTTGATCATGCAGGAACTTAACTGATTTCCCATGTTCTTGTCAAATTGTTTCAGAGGGATTACCTTTCTATTCTATCATGTTGCCTTTTTAAGGACTTTAGCTGGTTCCATGAGCTCTGGTAGCATATTGGTTATGAGTTGGTTTGCCAACCTCAAGGTCAGTAGTTCAAAACTACCAGCAGTTCCACAGGAGAATGATGAGGTGTTCTGCTCCTGTAAAGATTTACAGCCTTGGAAACCCTGTGCAGGGTCACTATGAGTCAGAGCCGACTTCATGGTACTTAACAACAACAACGTTTTGTATATCTAAGCACATAACAAATATGGACATTTGCAAGTATATATGAGTTCCTGGATGGTACAAATAATTAACATGATAGGCTGCCAACCAAAAGGTTAACTAACATTTGGGTCCATGCTGATGGACCTTGGAAGATAGTCCTAGAGATCTACTTTTAAAAAAACGGTCATTGTAATCTATGTGGAACACAGTTCTTCTGTCACACACAGGGGTTGCCGTGAGTTGAAGTTGACTCAGTGGCAACTGGAAAGAGGACAATTACATAAAGACCTTTGTCATGCTATGTTGTCATAAAGGTTATTCTACTGATCCAAGAAAACGTCAAGCTGTACAAAAATTTAAAAATGTACAGTGATAGATCTGTACTTTACAGTGTGCCTTGTTTATGATACTGAAAGACAGAAATAAATTCAAAATTGTTCTGTAACCAGGGTGAGTCATTTTAAGTGTATCCCTTTTAGTTTTCCAAATAATCTTTCTTATTTTCATAAATTGTAATTTGTCCTTAGTAGCCTAGGAAGAGAGTGAGTTTTTCTCTGCCCTTTTTACTCACAATTTTCAGACTCAGAGATCCATGATAATGCGAGGATATTCAGTTAGCTTTTCAATCCATGTCTCAGGAAACTAAACCTGATCTCCGGCCCTCCATAATTATCCCCATTGTCCCAGGTTACCCTTCCCAACACAAGTTACTTCTGCCTGTTTTACTGTTAAAAAATCTTGTTCTTGCTTTAGTCGCGCTTCACCATAGCTCTCAATCACCTAAATGATAACAAAAATGTAAACATTGATGAGGAGTAACTAAAGAATGCCGACATAGTTTTAGTGAGAAGAGTATGTTAGCACAGTATACGTCGTCATCAGCAATAGTGGAGTCCTAGTGTGATGTTGAAGGCTAAGCACTAGACTGCTAACCATAAGGCCATCAGTTCAAACCCACCAGCCACTCCTCGGAAACCCTATACAGGGTCACTACGAGTTGGAACCACCTGGACGATACTTAACAACACAGTAGAACTTCTTCAAGTTTTTTTTATTTAAAATATACTTTGTATTTATTCCAGTCTCTCTTTTTAACTATTTTATTATGCTTAAGGTGAAAGGACATAGTAAATTGTTTTTCCCATCGATCATTGCTGCACAGATTGTTGTGTGAGACTGGTTGCAATCCTAGCAGTATGTCAGCACGCTCCCATTTTCTTTCCTTTGCTTTTGGTTTCCCTGTCCCTTCCTGCCTTCTCATCTTGCTTTTTTGTTTTGTTTTTTTAACTTTTATTGTGAATTGAGTGAAGGTTTACAGAGCAGATCATCAGTTTTACACTCAAAAATCATATGCTTTGCTTCATTACAATGATTGCAATCCCGTCCATGTACCAACAGTTAACAATATTTACCGCTATTCACTTTAGGATTGCATTCCTCCCTGTGTCTCCCACCACCTTCATCTTTTTTCTGCTAACCTCCCTCTTGTATATTAATTGCCCTGTCACCCATGTTAACATATGTCTACCCTCTAGTCTGTGAATAACTTTCCCTCCCAGCTTCCCCTGTAACCATCATAGATTATTTTCATCAAGAAAATTTTCTCTTAACTTTTTAAATTGACCTCATGTAATATTTGTCCTTTTGTGATTCACTAATTTCACTCAGCATAATGTCCTCAAAGGATATTATATCCTCCAAGGAGCTCTGGTAGCATAGTGGTTACGAATCAGACTGCGAACCTCAAGGTCAGTAGTTCAAAACTACCAGCTGTTCTGAGGGAGAAAGATGAGGGTTTCTGCTCATGTAAAGATTTACAGCCTCGGAAACCCTGTACAGGGTCTCTAGGAGACAGAACCGACTCCACGGCACATAACAACAACAATGTCCTCCAAAGGAGCTCTGGTAGCGTAGTGATTATGAGTCAGGTTGCGAACCTCACAGTCAGTAGTTCGAAACTACTAGCTGTTCTGAGGGAGAAAGATGAGGTTTTCTGCTCATGTAAAGATTTACAGCCTCAGAAATCTATGCAGGACAACGATGAGTTGGAACCGATTCCATGGCACACTACCACCACCAATGTCCTTAGGCTCATCCAATTGTGAGGTTTTTCACAGATCCATGGTTATTTTTCAACATAGTATTCCATTGTGTGTATATACCATAGCTTGTTTAACCATTCTTCTGTTGATGGATATCTCCATCATTTGATGTGCCTCTGTTATTGTTTTTATTAGGTGCAATAGAGTCAGTACTGACTCATAGTGACCTTATGCTCAGCAGAACGAAACATTGCCTGATCCTAGGCCAACCTCACTATCATTGCCACGCTTGATCCCATTGATGCTGCCACTTTGCCAATCCATCTCACTGGGGGTCTTCCTTTTTTCTCTGACCCTCCACCCTACCAAACGTGATATTCTCCAGCGACTGGTCCTTCCTGACAATATGTCCGAAGTATGAGAGACGAAGTTTGGCCATCCTGGCCTCCAAGAAGCACTCTGGCTGCACTTCTTCCAACACAGATCTAGTAGACAGCATATTGAAGGATTCTGTTTTCTTATCCATTCTGCTCCTTCTGTCTCTTTACTGGTACATTTAATCCATTTACATTCCATGTCATTCTCAGTAGGTATGAGTGCTATCATTTTGTTGTGTGTTTTTTTGTTGTGGTGTTGGTTTCTTTGTTCCACATAATTTTCTGCACTGAATTCTTTTTGTTTGTGTATTTTCTTTGTTTTTTCATTCCAATTATGTTAATGTTTACTAAATCTTTGTGATTTTCTTCTTTATTTATTTTGATGTGCATGTGTAGTCATTGTCTTTGAGATTACCTTATAATTGATTAATATTTTCCCCTATATAAAGAAGTCTAGTGGTAGTGTAGTGTTTATGAATTGGGCTGCTAACCTCAAGGTCAGCAGTTCAAAACTACCAGCTGTTCCATGGAGAAAGATGAGGCTTTCTGCTCCTGTAAAGATTTACAGCCTTGGAAACCCTGTGCAGGATCACTATGAGTCAGAACCGACTCCACGGTACTTAACAACAACAACAACAACAACAACAGTGAGTCCTGGTGTGGTGCTGTGGGTTAATGCCCTGGACTGCAAAGTCACATTGAACCATAAGGTTGGCAGTTCAAGCTCACCAGTCGCTCCTCGGAAACCCTATACAGGGTTGCTATGGGTCAGAATTGAATCAACAGCACTTCAAACAACAACAACCACCATTGTATCTTGAAATCTACTGGGCTTCCTTGTCTTTTGGAAATTCTGTATCTGTATTATTCATTCCTTTTGCTTTGTTGTTGACTTCATTTTAAATTGAAATCTCTGGTTCCCTGTTTTCAATCTTATAGGTTTCTGTCAGACAAGTAAGTCTAGTGTTTTGTTTGATTTTTATCTGAATTTTGCTCTACATCTTTTACCATTCTAACTAGGATCTTCTATTGTAGTGTTGACCAGAGTGGTCAGTAGTGGCAGCTGTGTACCATCTAGTAGTTCTGGTCTCAGGATAGAGGAAGTTGTGGTTCATGTGAGCCATTAGTCCATTGGACTAATTACTTCATTGAGTCTTTGTTTTTCTTCACTCTCCTTTACTCTGGGTGTCAATAGACAAATAGTTTGCTTCTTATATGGCTGCTTGCAAAGAAACCC